GGGGCTGGATGCTGCAGGGCTGGCAGGGAACGCGGTGCCCGAGCCCCGGGGTGCTGTGCGGTGTGTGCGGAGGGAGGAGGTCGGATGCCGCATGCAAGGGCCGCTCTCCTGACCCAGCGCCTTGCAGTGTCGTGTGGGGGGAGGGGATCCGATGCTGCATGCCCGTCCCCCGCTCCTCCTACCCCGAGCTCCTTGCGTGCCAGGGCTGGTCCCCTTCCCCCGCACGAACACCGCAGGTCCCGCTCCCTGAGCCTGGGCTCTTTGCGGTGGGTGTGGGGAGCAGAGACTGCACGCACATCTCATGCCCCTACCCTGGCTCCTTGCAGTGCGTTGGGCGGGGGCAGAGGAGGAGCAGATGCTGTATGCAAATGTGACTCCCCTGCCCCGAGCTCCTTGTCCTGGTGGGATGCTGGTCACAGGATATTGCATGCGGCTTCTCCCCCCAACCAACTGACCAACCGGATTTTAGCTCCAGCTCGTGGGGGGAAATTAAGCTCATTGAAAGGGGGTCCGTGGGGGTGGAGAGCCATCGCTGCCTGCCCTGAAACCTTTGGGTTCCTTGTGGAGTGAGGATTTTGCTGCCATCAAATCTCATCCCCATCCTCTTGCGGGGGAGGAAATCAACGTTGCCATCACAGCACAGAAAAGCCAGTTTGGAAAGAGACTCCAGCAAGAAGAGTGCAGTGTTACTAATATGGGAGAGTTTATTGTTTAATGTGTAGCAGCTGATGAGAGGGTCGATCTGCTCTTGCGGTCTAGGGAGGCGGCCGATGGTATTTATGTGGCTGGGTCTGGTGCAGGGATGGAGAAGATGTTCTCTGCCTGGTACAGAAGAGCTTTTCTTTCTTTCTATTGTGGTAACCGTGGTGGTGGGGAAGCTTTAATGCAGCTGCCTCGTTTCAGTTAGATGAGCACTGGAAATGGAAAGTGTTTCTAACCGGAAAGTTGCTGCTGCTAGGATCATCCTTTCTCTGATTGCAGTCTTTGCTGTATTCATTTTTTTAAATTGTGTGCTTCCATCCCTCTCCTAGTAATTTATATGTACATTATTTTAGAATGTAACTTTCACAGTTTTGGTATTACTTCATCTAGAATGGGGTTATTTGTACATATAATATTGATATAGTGTGTATATATTTAATTGTTTATACCTAGCTTTTGAAGTGTGTGTCTGTATATCTGTCTTTATTCACACATTGCTCATCTACAGTGCTGGAGAATTCAGAGTTCATTTTAAGAGTCCAAAACACAAAAGAAAAGCCCTCATGTAATGCACTGCTGCTTAGAATTTGTATTTGTTTCTGACTTATCAAGCCTCCAGTGTAGGGACTAAATTAGAGCTTTTGATCAACTTTTTTCCCCCCCTTCTCCTTTATAATGAGGTCTGGAGGGAAAAGTTACTTAATTATAAATTCTCCACTTCATTTTTCTTGGAGTAAACAGTGTGACAAATTATAACATGGATTCCCCCCCCCCCCCCCACAATGACTAGATGATGGAGTTTTTTGTATTTCTGACATGAAAGAAGGGGTTCTGCATGTGTAAAACTGAATGCTCAATAGGGAAGAATTGGTATGCTTTGCCTTAACTGGCAAGTACTTCTTGATTTATTAAGTTACTTTGCTCAATGCCCTTCTGTTTGTGGTTGTATATGATAGTGCTTGGGGTGTGTTATAGACCACCAGGATCCAATTTGGATATGGATAGAGACCTCTTTAATGTTTTTAATGAAGTAAATACTCATGGCAACTGCATAATCATGGGAGAGTTCAACTTTCCAGATACAGACTGGAGAACAAGTGCTAGTAATAATAATAGGGCTCAGATTTTCCTAGATGTGATAGCTGATGAATTCCTTCATCAAGTAGTTGCTGAACCAACAAGGAGAGATGCTATTTTAGATTTGGTTTTGGTGAGTAGCGAGGACCTCATAGATGAAATGGTAATAGGGGACAACCGAGGCTCGAGTGATCATGAGCTAATTCAGTTCAAATTAAATGGAAGGATAAACAAAAGTAAATCTGAGACTAGGGTTTTTGATTTCAAAAGGGCTAACTTTAATAAATTAAGGAAATTAGTTAGGGAAGTTGATTGGACTAAAGAAATTATGGATCTTAAAGTGGAGGAGGCCTGGAATTATTTTAAGTTAAAGTTGCAGAAGCTGTCAGAAGCCTGTATCCCAAGAAAAGAGAAAACATTTATAGGCAGGTGTGTTAGACCAAGCTGGATGAGCAAGCATCTCAGAGAGGTGATTAAGAAAAAGCAGAAAGAATATAAGGAGTGGAAGATGGGAGGGATCAGTAAAGAAAGCTACCTTATTGATGTTAGAGCATGTAGGGACAAAGTGAGGCTAAAAGTCAGGTAGAGTTGGACCTTGCAAAGGGAATTAAAACCAATAGTAAAAGGTTTTATAGCCATATAAAAAGGAAAAAAACAAAAAAAGAAGAAGTAGGACCACTAATTACTAAGGATGGAGTGGAGGTTAAGGATAATCTAGGAATGGCCCAATATCTAACCAAATACTTTGCTTCAGTCTTTAATGAGGCTAATGAAGAGCTTAGGGATAATGGTAAATTAACAAATGGGACTAAGGCTATGGAGGTAGATATTACCATATCCGAGGTAAAAGCCAAACTTGAACAGCTTAATGGGAGTAAATCGGGGGGCCCAGATAATCTTCATCCAAGAATATTAAAGGAACTGGCACAGGAACTTGCAAGTCCATTAGCAAAATTTTTTAATAAATCTCTAAACTCAGGGGTTGTACCATTTGACTGGAAGATAGCTAACGTGACGCCAATATTTAAGAAGGGCTCTAGAGGTGATCTTGGCAGTCACAGACTGGTAAATCTAAAATCAGTACTGGGCAAATTAGTTTAAACTATTGTAAAGAATAAAATTGTCAGACACATAGATGAACATAATTTGTTGGGGGAAAAGTCAACATGGTTTCTGTAAAGGGAAATCATGCCTTACTAATTCTTTGAGGGGGTCAACAAATATGTGGACAATGGGGATCCAGTGGATATAGCATACAGATTTCCATAAAGACTTTGAAAAGGTCCCTCACCAAAGGTTCTTAAGTAAAATAAGTTGTCTTGGGATAAGAGGGAAGGTCCTTTCATGGATTGATAACCGGTTAAAAAACAGGAAACAAAGGGTAGGAATAAATGATAAGTTTTCAGAATGGAGAGAAGTAACTAGCGGTGTCCCTCAAGTGTCTGTCCTGGAACCAGTCCTATTCAACTTAGTTATAAATCATCTGGAGAAAGGGGCAAACAGTGAGGTGGCAAAATTTGCAGATGATACCAAACGGCTCAAGATAGTTAAGACCAAAGAAGACTGTGAAGAGCTTCAATAAGATCTCACCAAACTAAGTGATTGGGCAGCAAAATGCAGGGCAGCAAAGCATCCGCCCCAGAAGCTGGGCCAGCAGGGGCTGGGATCCCGCTCTTGGAGTGGCTTTGCTGCAGCTCTACAGTACATAGCTAAGCTTTAAGCCCACAGTGCATGTAACTGCTGAGATTTTCAATGGTTAAACAGTTACTCCATTAAACTGTTTTTAATATCCCTATAGAAAAGGTGACTGGCCTTCAAAGCCTCTGTCAAGTCTTACAGCATTGGTTAGCATTTTCCAGTAGGGAGCTATTAAGACAAGTGAGATTATTTTAAAGTGAGAGACAGATGCAGAGAGTATTTATAAGTAGCTAAAAAGATGCCAAACCATCAGCCCTCACTGAATTGGAAATTAGTGTTTGTCTTCCCACTTTTATTTCATGATGATATGGGAGAGGAATTATTTAAGCTTAATACCAATGTGGACACAAGAACAAATGGATATAAACTGGCTAGTAGAAAGTTTAGACTTGAAATTAGATGAAGGTTTCTAACCATAAGAGGAGTGAAGTTCTGGAACAGCCTTTCAAGGGATGTAGTGGGGGCAAAAGATAGATTAGACGAAGGTTTCTAACCATTAGAGGAGTGAGGTTCTGGAACGTCCTTCCAAGGGAAGTAGTGGGGGCAAAAGATCTATCTGGCTTCAAGATTAAACTAGATGGGTTTATGAAGGGGATGGTTTGATGAGATAACATGATCTTGGTAACTAATTGACCATTCATTATCAGTTGGAAATAGGTCAATGGAGGGATGATAGGAGTTACTATAGAGAACTTTCTGGGTGTCTGGCTGATGAGTCTTGCCCACATGCTCAGGGTTTAGCTGATCGCCATATTTGGGGTCGGGAAGGAATTTTCCTCCAGGGTAGATTGGCAGAGGCCCTGGAGGTTTTTCGCCTTCCTCTGTAGCATGGGGTACAGATCACAGCTGGAGGATTCTCTGCATCTTGGGGCCTTTAAACTATTTGAAGGCTTCAATATCTGAGATATAGGTGAGAGGATTATTCTAGGAGGGGGTGTGTGAGATTCTGTGGCCTGCGTTGTGCAGGGGGTCAGACTAGATGATCATAATGGTCCCTTCTGACCTTAAAGTCTATGAGTCTATGAGCAAGGGCATAAAAAGAGACAAGAAAAATGTGCTGAATTCTATGTAATATAATCTTATTGTTGATAGTTTAAAAAGTCCAATCATCTTAGCTTTGCAAACAGGCTGTAGTAATTTAAGTGATGATTTTCAATCATCCTAGGCTAACAAAAGAGCCACAGAATATCACAGGAAATGGTGGCGTTTTTGCAGGAGGGGTATTATATGCATTCACTGAGTCTAATGCTCAAATCTTATTAGTCCTGTAAGCCAACAGAACTATAGATGAAAGAAGATAACTGCTTCAAGGCTTCTTAATTGAACTTAGAAATCTGTAGTGTGCAGTACAGGTAGTCCCCGAGTTACGCGGATCCGACTTATGTCGGATCCGCACTTACGAACGGGGCTTTTCTCGCCCTGGAACTCGCGGGCGGCAGGACCACCCAGACGCGCAGTGGTCCTGCCACCGTGTCCTCCGGGGCGAGAAA